TGCTCTAACACATTGCACAGGGATCGGGTGTTTCATTGAGAGGCCACTTGGCATAATAAATCGTGGCAACACTCAACTCAATGATTTGGACGTCATTTCCAAGGTAAGCAACATTGGCCTTAAAAAACTGGAAAATTGCAAGTATTTGTTTTAAAAAGTTGTATAGCTAGGCACTGACTTAATTTTTTCAAGTTTTAACCACAAAAAAAAAAAAAAAAAGAAGAGAGAGAGAGAGAAATTAAATCAACAGCAACACACATCAAAAAAACCACAAAAGAACAATAACCAAAAAAAAAAAAAAAAAAAGAAGAGAGAGAGAGAGAAATTAAATCAACAGCAACACACATCAAAAAAACCACAAAAGAACAAAAAGGTTTAAAAGTTTGGTGGAACCCTCCCAAAATCATTGTAGAGTCACATACAAACTAATGAATAGCAGGATCTATTTTTTTTTTCAGTTTTTCCAATTCCATACAAATACTCCACTCCACTCTTAGACGTGTCTTTTCATTTTGAAATTGAGCTTTTGAAATTGAAAAAATTAAAATCTGCACCCAGAAGTCTGTTAAACTGAATTTAGAAAGACCCAAATAAACTCACAATTACGCTCAAGTATCCCAAACTGTAAAATATTCCATTCTCAAGTTTCCCTTGAGCAGACAGCGACATGACAAGACTGGAGTGTTTATTTTTCTCTATCCAAAAAACCTATCCCATTTCTCTGTAGCTTCCCTTTGCCATGTAAATATTAACAAAGTGATTACAAAGTTAACTCATAGAAAAGTTGTTCTTAAAAATCATTCACTTGCAAGAACAGCAAATACTTTGAGCAAATATTCAAAAACAGGGATTTGATGAGATGTGTACAGAATTAAGTATTTAACAATGACCCTTACCTTTTGGAAGTCAGGGAGATCTTTTTAAAATGCAATACTTGATTGTTTTCACTCCTTTTGTTAGAGCGTCTGTGACTGACTTAACGTTTGTGACGTGACAAAATAAATCGAGGTATCCACTGAGAACCAAGTGTCAGTGAAGGATCAAAGTTTGCTACTTTACTACTATGTTGTAATTGTTTTTCATTTTTCTGTTATCTCACTTTGTAGTACCAGGTGACCAAACTATCCCAGTTTGCTCAGGACTAAAGGGCTTCTGGGACAGAGGACTTTAATGGCTAAAACCAGGCAAGACTTGGGCAAATCTGGATGAGTTGGTTATGTTAAGTTTGAATAAACATTGTAAGTCTGACTGACTTAATATAAAGCCTGGTCTATTTAATAGTGAGGGTTTGAATTTACCAGTTTAAATGTAGCTTTGAAGTAGCTGTTATGTAACCACAATTCTGTGGCAGACTCCACTAAAAATTATGATCTATCCCCTACCCCCAGCCATTTTCGGTTGTTTTGCACAACTACTCTGTGCATTACCACACAATGTAAAATTCTTGGCTCCTGTTTGAATCTTTCTCATGGGTTTTAAATACCCCTAACTGTAAACGATCAGATACAGAAGGTTGGTTTGGTTAAACCCTGACTGGATTCCGATGTTGGTTTCTAAAGTATGGGAACACAGCCTCACTTTCTGGTACTCTGGCTGCAGTTTTTATTAAGTGCCTAAACTAGCATTAGATAGAATCTGGAGCAGTTGAGGCTCTGTTTCAGGGGTAGTAAAGTAACTATGGGATTATTAGGTTTAACACTAGTGGGTTGAAGCTCCGCGTAAAGACTGTCATTGACTGCAGGGTCATGGTGTACAGTTGTGCAGAATGGGCACTGCACAACTCAGGAGGCATCATTCGTATTTCTGTCTATGGGAAAAGTGTCTTCTGCAGGGCACAATCTGCATGGCTGAAAGTGGTGGCTTCCTTCTTACAGAAGCTGGTAAGAAGGAAGGTAGTCCTCATACTCTCTAGAGAACCTCTGTTCCTGGGCAGTGATTAAGGGAATAATACGGAACAGGGTGGTTCTGCCACGAGGTACTGATAAATCCCAGACGCATGAATTACCTGACCTTCTCACTCATCTCTCAGCCTACCTCACACGCTCTCTAGGAATGACATTACTTACCCCACCCCACAAATTCGAACCCTTAGAATTTTGCTCTGGATGCTCCATTTAATCAAAGTTCCCTCTGTCGACTAGAATAGTGACATACCTCTGGCTTGTGTGTGCTCAGCTGAATCTTGTAGCTGATTGCCTAATGACTAGATTCTAATTGCATAGCTAAATGGATCCTACCCACAGCGGGAAATGTAAATCGAGAGCCCTTGTGTATTTCCATGAAGGGACATCCATCCCCTTTTCAAGAGCCTCCATTACTAAGCTCCTTTTTAAACTCAGTGTCTGGTCTCCATTTAATTTAACCCCTGAATGTCCATCCTCTTTCCTACACTGGAGAGAAAAAAAAGGGGCTAATCACGAACCAAGTAGTAATTTCTTAATCTTGGCAGATGATAGAACAAAGACACTGAATGTAAGGTGAAATGACTTCAGAAGAAGTGGAGATTATTTGGAAATAAAACCAGGATTTTCCAAATATCACCTGTGACACATGTTTTATGAGCTTGATTTGGATGGTGGTTATAGTTAGGAATTTTTTCCTGATACACAGTTAATTCCATCTCAGAGGAATAGAATGGGATGTGCTGTTTCTAAATTTATTTAAAAAGAGCCTGTGAGGCAAGGTGAAAGAAGGGATTCCATTACAGAGGAATTATTTTATTCAATAAAGATTGGGGATGCTTTTATTTCAACTAGTGACTAAACCATTTAAAAAGAGATGCTTCCTTCTCTCTCTTTGCTCTCAAACTTAAATGCCACAAATGTTAGAGGAAAAAGAGAGCAGGACACTTGGTGGTGGTCATGGTCAGAAGGGCTGCCCCTCTTCCCCTGAGTCCCTCCTCAACTTATTCCTTATTCTTTCAGGGTTTTCTTTGTGGAAACCCACATGATTGTGTGATTATTTACAAGGTCCCACAGGGAATGCATCTTCCTTTAAAAAGCCATCAGGGGCCTCCCTGGTGGCGCAGTGGTTGAGAGTCCGCCTGCCGATGCAGGGGACACGGGTTCGTGCCCCGGTCCGGGAAGATCCCACATGCCGCGGAGCGGCTGGGCCCGTGAGCCATGGCCGCTGAGCCTGCGCGTCCGGAGCCTGTGCTCCACCACAGGAGAGGCCACAACAGTGAGAGGCCCGCGTATCTCAAAAAAAAAAAAAAAAAAAGCCATCAGTACTGGACAGGAATCCCTGGGAGCACCTGATGGATAGTATCCGTCATCCAAAAAGAGTTTTTTCCCATCAGTAAAGGTGTTACAAGGTCTAAGAACATAGTCTTGTTAGATAAAAACAGACATGGCAGTGGAATTCATTGAAAAGAGACTATTCTCTATTTAGTTGGCTGTAGCTACAAAATTATTCGATCCATATTTTAAAAAAATTATTTATTTAATTAATTTATTTTTGGCTGCGTTGGGTCTTCATTGATGCACGTGGGCTTTCTCTAGTTGCAGCAAGCGGGGGCTACTCTTGGTTGTGGTGCACAGGCTTCTCAATGCAGTGGCTTCTCTTGTTGTGGAGCATGGGCTCTAGGCGCACAGGCTTCAGTAGTTGTGGCACGCAGGCTCAGTAGTTGTGGCACATGGGCTTAGCTGCTCCGTGGCATGTGGGATCTTCCCGGACCAGGGCTTGAACCCATATCCCCTGTACTGGCAGGTGGATTCTTAACTACTGTGCCATCAGGGAAGCCCTCGATCCATATTTTAAGAGCAACAGAGGAGAGACAGTGTGAAAGCACTGTGTTCAAGGTCAAATTTCTGACGAGGGGCCTTCACACTTGCTTTCCCTTTTGCCGTAATTCTCTTTCCACAGATATTTGTGGGGCTGACTCCCTATCATTTGGGCTGAAATTCAGATCATCTGACTTATATTCCCTCTCCCCACTCAGTCACCATTGCACGACATTCTTTATGGTATGTCTCAATGTCTGAAACTATCTTACTCATTTTTTTACTTGTTTACTGTCTAGACTTCCCCACTGGGCTGTAGGTATCCTGAGAGCAGGGATCTCACCTGTCTTCCTCATCAATGTCTCGTCATCTAGACAGTTGTTCAGTGAACTACACTGAATCAGTGGGTTCCATGCTAAAGTCAGGACTCACCATGATCATTGCTAAAAATGACTTATACCCGAGCTACTCCTAATTGACCTATTATTCAGAACCCTAACATCTCTATTTAGGGTTCATGTTTTGTAAAAAATGAATTATTTAATTTGGTGCTTTATGGTTTCAGTGCTTCCGTTTTCTTTGTTTCAATAAGCATCTCCAAGCGTATGCTGTCTTTCATCTGACCCTGTGTGTCTGAAGTGTTGCAAGATAAAAACCAACGTAGGTAGCAAGAAGGCATGGCAAAGGGGCAAGAAATTAAAGCAGATGCTGAGATAAGAGGGGAAGAGACTGGAATATGAACTGGGGCTGTTTAAGGAGGAAGTTTCATTTTTGGGTCCTGGTATTTTAGCTCAGAATGGGTACCGCGTTTTTTTTTTTTTTTTTTTTTCCACTGCATGTGATAATGTCATCATTTATTTTTAAATGGTTCTAAGTTGCAGATTTAAATTTATTTCAAATCAAGCCCTATTTTACAATTACTTTTAATAGGAAGAAATGAGGCAAGGACATACATAATCTACCATATTTGAAGGACTCAAACAAATACATGTTTGGCTGTGAATTCTAAACTCTCACCAAAACAGAGAGATAAAAATCCACCTAAAATATATTTTCTTTGTTTAGTCCTTAGGGGGAAATGTCAAGTATTGCACTTTAAAATTACTTTCATCTAACATTTTTGTCCCAACTTTCCCCCTCTGAAGTCACTATTTTTTCTTTTCAGCAAACATGATTTTGTGAATCCTTAATGTTAAAGCAACTAGATTTTCTAACTCAACTTTGGAAGATTGACTTTACTATACAGGGCTATTTTTAACAAATGGCATATTTACTTACAAAATTGGGAGATGGGGGCGTCCAGCTGAGGCACGTTCCCTCCCTTGGCGTTGAGTTTCTGGACTTGGGTTGGGGGCACAGGCTTGTGTGACTGACCGGTAGCCCGGTACATGGCTTGGACCCAGAGAATGCGATCTTGCTCATCATCACTTGCAAATATCACGGTGTCTCCTTCTTTGACTGCATTGAAGAAGGCTCGGCCACCCTCCAAACCTGGGTTAAAAGGGAAAAAGAAACTGCTAAGTTGAGCTGCAATGTTCTTGGCAGGACTAAGTTCTGAGAGAGGCAGTTTCTGTGCTTTTTCTTGGGCTGCAGAAGGGAGGAGCCATTTATCTGACTGTAGGATGGGAAAACTGATACCCACTTGGCCACAAGGTGGGGCCATGGTGTCCAAGAGGCATTTTGAGCCCAGCTCTTGTCTCCCGCCATCTTTGTTTGGTTGGAGACAGAGTTGTCAATTGAGCTGCCTAATGGACGGGTAAACATCTGTCTATAAATACATCTCTCATCTTTCTTTTTTTTTTTTTTTTTTGCGGTACGTGGGCCTCTCACTGTTGTGGCCTCTCCCTTCGCGGAGCACAGGCTCCGGACGCGCAGGCTCAGCGGCCATGGCTCACGGGCCCAGCCGCTCCGCGGCATGTGGGATCCTCCCGGACTGGGGCACGAACCCACGTCCCCTGCATCGGCAGGCGGACTCTCAACCACTGCGCCACCAGGGAAGCCCTCTCTCATCTTTAAATACAAACAAACCGGACAACAAAAACATCTCTTGACCCCCACTTCTCCCTTGAGCTACTGCCCTATTGTTCTTCTCTTTACAATGTAAGTGGATCTCTACCAGGGCTTCTCAAATTTTGGTGCACATGTGAATTCTCTGGGCATCTTGTTAAAATGTAGCTTCTGATTCAGTAAGTGGGGCTAGAACCTGAGATCCTGCATTTCTACTCAAGCTCCCAGATGATGCTGATGGTGCCGGTTGGAGGACCACACTTCAAGTAGCAAGGGTCTCTCTCCTCTTAAAGCCCTAAAGCCCTTCTGATCGGGCTGCTGCCCCAGTGAAACTTGTCAAGGTCACCAATTACTTCCCCGATGCTGAGTCCGATGATGAACTCAAAGGCTTCATTTTGTTCCATCCATCAACTCATTCCATTCTCTTTGAAAGGTTTTCTTCACTTGGCTCCAGTCATCTGATT